ATACACAATCATTAACTCATTTAATTTGCTTATCTAGATCAATCCTGCTCTGAATTTAGATTAGGCTGCAACTTATGCATTAAGAATAACTTTCATTAAGGACATATACATAATTCTAAATCAAAACCTGAACTTCTTGGGTTATTATCAGATACATACAAGCAGTGAGATTCCAGTTATCTAAACTTCAGAAATAGCTTTGAATCAATATCAAGTAATCAATTCTATCAAAGAATATGAATATTGTTTTTCAGTTTGTTTTAATTAAAATTCTACAATTATGATAAATGGGTATATGGATGGTATTATATAAGTATTTGATTTTAATTAAGGGGATATCCAGCTTACCTAAAGACTTAATGAACACAAGGATACTGTAGGATGTTTAAATTTCATGAATAATTCAAATTCGTTTGTGTCTGGTAGTTTAGACAATGATATTATAATTTGGAAGTTCTTTGAAAATAAATAGTGGTGTGTCTAATAAAAATTAATAGAACACAGAAATTGGATTCGTTGTATAATAATTAATTCAGAAGGTGATTTAATAATATCTGGAAGTAGAGATTACAGTATTAAGCTTTGGAGAAAAGATAATTCCTGGTAATGTTCATAAGCGTTAAATCATAATAATAATGATATAATGAGTATGAGTTTAAATAAAAGCTAAACTTATCTGATCTCTTGTGCTTAAGATGATGATGAAATATTAATAAATAAATAATAAGAAAACAAATAATTGATGATTATGTAAAAAATTAACCAAAAAGGGTATAGATTATGTTTTATTAATACAATATCGTAATCCTGTTATGGATGTCTAAGAATTGAATAACTCAACTAATTTATTTGATTAAATCAAATAAATGAAAGTTAAGAATGGGAATAGTTGTCATTGTTTTTTCTAATCATAATTTAATTAGTAAAAGTAGATTTTAGTCTGCAAAAATGGATATTATGAAATATTACAAAAGTAACTTAATGGGTTGAATTTCAATTAGTTTAAGTCATTAATTTTGGAACAGGAACTGTTTTTGGTAAATTAACAGAAAATGGGTAGTTTATTGTAATTTGGATGACAAAACTAAATAAATTTAAATATTTTAATTTAAAGAAATTTGAAAAATAAATTAAATAAATTGATAACTAAATAATTTCTTCAGGTCTATGAATTTATCATAATTATTACAGACATTCGTAATTATTGAGATAAAGAAAATAGATATATTTTCCTAAATTAAAATATATTATGTAATCCTACAAATTATTTTTATAAAATGATTATTTAAGTTGAGCAATTTTAGAATCTCAATTTGTATAAAATAGTTATTCTTTTATTTCGATCAATAATTTTTTTCATGCTTCTAAAATTACAATTTATTAATTTTATTTTTATAATAATAAATATATTATTATTATTTTTCCAATAATAAATTGTATATCACTTAAAGTTTAAGGCTGGTTTAATTTAATTATAAAATAGAAATTTGGATATGTGCTAAAAAGATATCAAAAGATGTTTTTTCTTGTTCAGCTTCTATATTTTAAACTTCTTCTTAAAAGAATTCATTCTAATAAATCCATAATATTATAACTTATATCTTAATTTAAGTTCAGGATAATATTTCAATATTATTATTTTTTATTAAAAAGAAGAATAAAAAGAATATTTAATCGCAATTATGATATTTTATATATTTTCTAATTACAAATAAAATTTTTGATTCACTACTTTTGAAACACCATTTAATCATAATTTTCTTTTTGCCTATGTTTTAACTTATCAATACTAATTTAAAAACATAATTTAAATTAAACAACAATAATATTTGTCTGAATGTAATCCATATGAGATATTGAATGAAATTAAAAATAAAATTTCAGCATATGTTCACATCATTTTGAAGGTTAAATAACGTAATTGGTAAAGTAGTAATCAATCATGCGATCATTGTATGAATTAAAATATAAGATTCATTTTATATTGATCTAAATCTCATAACACTGAATTTGTTTTATTAAATTCGAATGCTCTATTATGTCTCATATGTATTAATCCAATTGAGTTATATTTTCTATTCAGATTTGAAAAAAACAATAAAATTTAATTTCGGAATTGTATTAATCTGAGATTTGTTTCTTGAAATATTTGATTTCATAAAATAGAGATGCAAACTTAACATGGTTCTAGAAAAGAATTAATATAAATTTTATTTGATAGTTCTGCTTATTCTATTTATGATAATTGAGTTTTATAACTTTTTTTTTGTTCAATTGTTTTTAAAGAAATTAGAGTTTGTAAAAATAAAAATATAATAAATTATATGAAAATCAGAAAAATTATTCTTATTTGTTTCTTAATTTTGTTATACTAAAATTTGGAAGTTTAAAACATTCAGATATTGAAATAAATATACTTATACCAATTAACAGAAATTTTAATTAAAGTTAGTTAAATATATTTATTAATGTCAATCTCATTAACATGTAATTAATTGAGCTGCAATTCTAGTTCATTTTTAGATGATATTCTCTCCTTTCATTTTACAAAATCTCTCAATTTATATTCAGTAAATAATAATATAATATTATAAAGTAATAGTGTAATCAACTAAATATATATATGTTGTCTTATTCGACAAATAATTATTTTAGCATTTGAATATAACTTGATTTATTGGATGTAGAATTCTAAGCTTCAAATGAATGTCTCTATTTAATATTGAAAGTATTAAGAAAGTAAACATTCTATTGTTCTTTAACTTAATAAATTTTGATCTTTAAAGCAAAATAAAAATGATAAATTCTAAAGAACATGGATTTATTGATCGAGTTAATCAATCGATTAGAGGTTATTTGTTCCATTTGCTCTAAATTTTATAAATTAATAACTACTCCATATTATTTGGAGAATTTTGCTAAGTTCTAAAATAATTATTTTTCTTTATGTTTAGTTATTCTTATTTATTTTAAGTATTTGAAAATTTGATACTCATTTTCTAATTTCATCAATTATATATGGATAGATTTACAATTAATATCATAAATGGTGTATTTTAGATGTCAAAAAATTTGCCATCAGAGAAATTATCTTCTTAAGCTCAATCCGAGAAAGATTGATAATTGCATTCAAAAAATAATTTTCATGTATAAATTACATAACAGAAATCAAGTTTGATTGTGAAGTATTTT